ATTGATGAGACCTGTGAATCCTATACTTTTTTTTTCTGGTTTACAATTTTTGAAAAATAATTTTAATTTACATATAATAATTGTACATATTTACAGGGTACTGTGTGATATTTTGATACACATATACAAAGTGCAATGGTGAAATCAGGTTAATCAACATGTCCATCATCTCAAACATTTATCATTTTTGTGTGTTGGGAATAAATGTTCTCTCTCTTGATTGTAGTGGTGGTTACATGACTGTATACATTTGTTAAACTCACCAAACTTTATACCATCTGGCTGACTCATCTAGGTATCAGCATTTGCAAAATTTCCTTTCCTCCTCCTTCTAAACTTTGCTTTCAGAAAAGGATTGGAAACTCTTTCCTAGTCATTAAATGATTGCTGAAACTAAATGTATTACCCCTCCCAGTGGTATTCTTATTTTAGTAAAGATAGAGCTGTAAGTGAAAAACCTATTTCCAACAATAAAGGACTTAGGGCACGGTGACCAAGGGAAGGCATTCACTTTTTGAATACAAGGAACGCCTTTATTTTAGTAAAGATAGAGCTGTAAGTGAAAAACCTATTTCCAACATAAAGGACTTAGGGCACGGTGACCAAGGGAAGGCATTCACTTTTTGAATACAAGGAACGCCTTCCAGTCCCCCTGATATCACATCATTTAAGTAACCATCTCTACTATATAGAAGGTCACAACAATTTCTCTCTGAGTCCCCGGACTTTGGACACTCTTCAAACTTTCCCTCTTTTAGTATCCATGGGGAATACATTTTCTAACGCTGTCTTTGGTCTCTTTCAGAAACCATCAAAGAGGAGAGGGAAGAGAATGAACAGACTGAGGAAAGGTGAGTCCTGACCCTGTAGCATTGTTGAAGGAGGCATGACCCCTGGAGTGTCTGTAACTTGAATAGGCTTGAGCCTGAGGCATGCTGAGAACTCAGCAGACATGAGCTAATGGGGAGAGAGAGGAAAGTAAGGCTAGTTAGGACCTAGGAGGAAATGACCTGTCTGTAAACGGGTGGTGGGGCATCCAATGCACGGTGCCCGGAGGGTATGGCAAGCTCAGTCACAGTCAAGTAAAAATCAACTCCGAAGGGTTCTGATGTGGCGAGTGCGGTCTGCATCTTACTCACTATAGCAACCCCAGTGCCTGGACTAGCAGGTGTCCTACCTGTGTGGAATGAAGAAATGAAGAAGTGAGGAGGGATAGCATGTTCCCTTCAGCCTCGGCGTCTTTGTGTCTGCTGTGCCCTCTGCTTGGAATGTTCTTCTGCCATTTCTTAACCTCATTCTTCAGATCTCATCTCAAGCAGCACTTCTTAAAAACCCTTCCCAAAACGAGATCATGTCTACCTGTTGCAGTGTCATGTGGTTACCTGTTTTTCTTTGTAACATCAGATATACTTAATATTTATATAATTATCTTATTAAACTGTATAGGCTAAACTAAACTATGGAGGGCAGAGACCATATCAGTTAAGCTCACCATTGAATGGCCAGCATTTAGCACCGTGCCTGGCATATAGCAAGTGCTCACTAAATACTTGTTCGGAGAATGAATGTATGCATGAAAGAACACATGGAAGTTCCTGGTGATCAGTCCTTTCACAACGTGATGTGATAGATTTTCTGTACCTACATCCCTTCTGAGGAAGTAGGCTCTCAAGAATATCAAGGCTCTGACCACATGGTCATGGGGTCAAAGCAACCCTCAGTCAAAAGCCTGGCCACAGAGACAGGGTCATGGCCTGAGGGTGCAGAAGCCACCAGAGTGCCCAGCACTTAGTCAGATATACCAGCCACTGTGATTGTAGCAGCAACGCCAGATCATCCTGGATGGTGAGGCAGGTGCTAAGATCCTGCCTGCCCTGTCAGACTCAGTTCAGAAATGGTCTGGAAGAGCCTGCAGAGGGAAAGCAGCAGGGAATCAGCCTAGGGCAGGGGCAGGGCCAGACAAAACTAAAGGGTAGTTGTTGAAGGAAGTGTGGAGGACAGTGTATACCAGGGTTCTCTTCTCCTGCTTTCTCCACTTCTCTCTCCAATAGTTTGTTCTCCTCGTTGCTATTGTAATGGCCTCCTATATTATCCCCTGTCACTCAAATCTAGAAAAAGAAAGTGGCTCTACTATGAAATCTCACCCAATCCTTTTTTTTTTTCTGTTGTTTTGTTTTGTTTTTTTCAGAGTGAAATTCCATGTACCAGAAAGATCTGCTGAGGAAGCCCAGCGTGCTGTTAAGAGTTCAAAGACACCCTTAGGCGAGAAAAGTGCTACACATTTTTAATTAAAGAGTAAAGTCCATATGAGTATCCATTATTTTATACCCTTTCCTTTGCAAGTTTTTGGGCAACCTTTTTGATTTCTTTCAGAAGGCAAGAAAATATTGCTGTTAGTAATAATGGGGCTCCCACATGCCCTCTCAGCGAAATAACGTCCAACCTCCTATAATGCCAACTCTGCTCCCTGTGCTAGGAGCCGACTTTAATTCTCTAACTGCTTCTTTTCATTCAGAGCACAATGAATGGTTCCTGGCCTGGGAATAATGTGTAGGAACAATGCCTCCTGCTTCCGATCTTGTGTTTTTGTATAAAATTCCCAGTTACTGGAATACTTTCATCTCCCCCACTTCCTAAGGTGGGACTTCACTTCATCTTGTGTACCTGTGGCTGAACAACCACCTCTTCAGTCTGGGTGGGATTTATGTATTTTTTGACTTTATAGTGTTAATATTAATATTTTGAAATATGAAAATGTCCTATAATAATGTGATTACTATGCTCTACAAAAAAAAGTCTGCCCCTGCGAAAGAGTGCTTGTCCCTCTCTCAGGGTCAGTGAGGAAAACAGTGTCCTAGTGTACAGGCAACAATGAGCAGACCAACCTAAGTTTGGGAAAGTTGGCAGAGAGAGATGGAGTCAGCTCTGGATCCTGGAGCCACTTCCATCGGGGCTGTTGCTAATATTGAGGAGGGTCCACCTGCCCGAGGTGCTATTAATAAGCCTTAGTGGAGAGAACTGGATAAATAGGAAAGTGTTGTGTCTTGTCAGCCCTATTTCTCTTCTTGAAAAAATGAGGTGATGGCCTGGGACAGCTGTGCAAGGACCAACAGAGAGATCATAGAACTCAAAAGAGTAAAAAATGAAAGATCTCAACCAACAGATATACATGAAATGTCTGGTCTCTCCAGTTCTTTGACAAGTCTTGGAACAGGCAACGGATGGAAAGTCTGTCCAAATGGACTTAAGACAGACAGCAGTTTCCCTGGTGATCAATGAGGGGTTTTGATAACACTCAACTTATTGTGCTGCTTTGTCTGGCTGGAAGCAGAGCTGGGGAGGCAGAGCTGTCACTGATAATGGGTGAATGGAAGGAGGCTGAGGGCTCTTAACTCATGGCTGAGGAGGAGCAGCTGCAGTGGAATTGGGAAGACCAGGACGCAGACCACCCAGAGGTTACTTCACCTGCAGATGTCCTGAGGGGATAGGTGCTGGCCCAGCAGGGCTAGCGAACTTGAGTCTGAGGACTGTTTATGCTCAAGGCAATGACAGGAAAACTGGGTACAGGAGAGAGACATACTAGCCCAGCAGAAATGAATTAGGAAACCTGGCTCTAAGGTGGTATCAGTAGGGGATGCAGCAACCTCAGTCCAAGCCTAAAGAGAACTTTGGGAGGCCCCAGCTACAAGAATAGTTTTTTGTATTTTACATAAAGGATCTTAGAGGTTTGTAGACCGCTGTGCTAGTCATGCTCATCCTTGTAATATTACCGTGTGTGCGCCCTGACCCTGCCTTCATTAGACTCTTAGCACCCAGCTTTTTTCTAACATGTTTTGTACAAATCAGTTCTCAGTAAATTTCTATTAAACTTGTTTAGAAGTTTACATTTTGTGCTTCTACTTCAACAGTACTACTCAACCCTTGTAGTCTGATGTTCTCCTTCTGTCCTCTGAATGTACTTCCTTTCTCTTCACATCTATACATCTAGAAGCCTCTGATTCATCCCATATGTCTCCTCCCTTTCCTCTAACCATTGTATAAGAAAGGGGGCCTTACATGCTTCTATATTTTGTCTTAGCAATGAGACATAAAAAACTCAAGTAACAGTGGTTGTTTCTGAGGACAATTAGGAAATTCAGAATAAGGAAGGGATACCTGCTTTTCAGTTTGTAACCTTTTGTACTGTATAATTTTTAAACTACGTGCTTCTGCAAGATGTAGGACTGGGCAAAGACTTTATGAATCAGAGTTTAAAAGCATAGGCAACAAAAGAAAAAATAAACAGATGGGATTATTTCAAACTAAGAAACTTCTGCACAGCAAAGGAAATAATCAACAGAGTGAAAAGACAACCTACAGAATGGGAGAAAATATTTGCAAACTATGCATCAGACAAGGAGTTAATATCCAGAGTATACAAGGAAGTCAAACAACTCAGCAGTAAAAAAAAGCAATAATCCTATTTAAAAATTGGCAAAGGAGCTGAATAGACATTTCTTAAAGGAAGACATACAAAGGCCGATAGGAACATGAAAAAATGCTCAACATCACCAAGCATCAGGGAAATGCAAATCAAAACCATATTGAGATATTATTTCATGCCAGTTAGACTGGCTTTATCAAAAAGAAAATAACAAATGCTGGTGAGGATGTGGAGAAAGGTGAGCCCTCCTACATTGTTGGTGACACTATAAATTGGTGCAGCCATTATGGAAAATATCATAGCAGTTTCTCAAACAACTGCAGATAGAACAGCCATACGATCCAGCAGTCCCACTACTGGGTATATACCCAAATGAATGGAAGTCATAATGTTGAAGGGATACCTGCACCCTCATGTTTATCACAGCTCTATTTACAATAGCCAAGATATGGAACCAACCTAAATGTCTATCAGCAGACAAGTGGATAAGGAAAACGTGGTATATTTACACAATGGAATACTACTTGCCATAAAAAAGAATGAAATTCTGCCATTCACAGCAACATGGATGAACTTAGAGAAAATCATGTTAAGTGTAATAAGCCAGGCACAGAAAGGGAAATACCACATATCCTCACTCATAAGTGGGAGCTAAAAAATAAAGAAAGAAAGAAAGAAAAAAAAAAAAGGAACAATCACAATAATACATTGAACTTTCAAAAGGAGAGAACAGATCTGTGGTTACTAGAGGTGGGAAAGGGGTAGGAGGATAGTGAGAAATTGGTTAAGGGTCACAAAGAATGGTCATATTTTATAATGATGAATATACCAATTATCCTGATTTGATAATTACATATTGTACACAGGTACTGATATTCAACTCTGTACCCCAGAGATATGTATAATCAATTATGTTTCAATAAAAAAGTATGTACATTAAACAAAAACTTAATGTAAAAATATTCCTTGAACATACCCTTTATTATAAAGTAAATGCATACATGCATATGCACATACAGCATGTGAGAAGAGCCATAAAAATTCTGGAAAAAAAATTAGTCTCTGTGAAGGCAGAGATGTGTCTAATTTCTTCACCAACCAATCCCAGGCACCTAAGGTAGTGCCTCAAAACATACTTGCACTTGTTTAAAGATTGAATGAAATATTAACATGCCCTCTGGTGAAAACATTCCTCCTTTGTATATTAAATTGTCTGACCTGCTGTGTTCCAAGTCTGGGAGAAAGAAAGTAAAAAAAAGGTTGAAAGAGGTCATGAGGTATAGTTCTAGCTAACGTTACTGCTCTTTCATCATGTACCAGGCACTCTTCTAAACCTTTAAACTCATTATCCTATTTAACCTTCACAGTGACCCTGTGATGTAGGTAACAGGATATTATGCTCATTTTGCTGATGAGGAAATCTAAGCACAGGGATGTGTCAAACTAATTTACCCGATGTTGTTAACTTTGTAAACGGCAGAGATGGGGAGAATTTTTCAAAGCGCCTCCCCTCCGCCCCGGTATTTCCCAGCCTTTCCGGCTGTAGAGCAGACAGCATTCGGGCGGGGTGCAGGCTGGGTGCCTGCTCCGCACTCTGCACTGGGGTGCACCTTGCATTCCCTCAGCCCCCTGAGGTGGTGACACCAGAGGACCCATCACTGAGTTTTCCATGGCCCTCTCATCATCTTCTAAGGCCAGAAGGTGTGGATAAGGCACGTGGTAAGACCAGTGAAAATGAGATTTGGGTCAGAGGGAAACTGAACTGAATTTGCTGCCTACAAGTCCTCCCCTCTGCTCCGCCACTTATTATTCTTTTGCAATCTGCCCTTCTCCCTCTGCCATTGTCAAGCCGGTTTCAGCCATGGAGTATCCTCACATTTGTTAACCCAGGCTTGAAAGCAAAGAGTCATCCCTGATGACTGCCCTCTAACCTCTCCCTCAGCACCCACTACCCATCCCTGCCCTGCTGCCACATTCGGTCATCACCAGGCCAGGCAAGTGTTCCTCCAGCCCCAGCAGACACACCTTCTTTCTCACTCAGGCCCTTATTTTTCATTCCAAGAACGTGACAGTCACCACCCAACTGATCTAAGTCTCCTGTCTCTCTCACCCTGCATCCTATCCAAAACCAAAAGGAGCAAGGAGGTAGACAGTGAAAAGAAGGTCGCCCTCACCCTCCTTTACCCTGGCCACACAACTCTGATCGCCAGCTTCTCATGTAGCTTTCCTTAGACACATATGGATGCACACACGTACATGTGTGCATGCATACACACGCACTGAGGAATAGGTGTAACGTATCTAAGGAAAGATACATGAGACACACACACACATGTACACACATATATATTTCCTTTATTAGGGCAGATATGGTTTTATTCTGTACCACAGTGTAAGGAAATCAGAAGGCTCTTGCTAGGATGATTGAGAGATATCAGCCTTCAGTGTACCCCTTCATATTAAAAATGTATGTCTCTATCATGTCAGTGTTCAGTCTCACCCATATGCTAGCATTGTGGATCTTATAATAAAAGTGAGATTCCACTGGCTTTTGCTATGTCTATCTGTTTACTCCGGAAGGAAAGATACAGATATACAGAGTCCT